GGGGGGGAGAAACGGCCAGCGGCCGGACGTTTTGATGTGTTTTTGATTTCGGCTGGGAGGCCAACGGAGGCGGAAGGTTTGCTGGGGAGGGGCTCGATTGCTTCAGCTAGCTTCCGGGGAACTGGGCAGGGGGGGAGGGGGGGGGGCAGGATATGAGTAGCTCGGACCCAGTGCAGATGCACTTCCAAAAATTATGGGGAGGGGGAAACGCGGTGTGCTTTGGCATGGACTTGGGCTGCAGAAGAGTCCAGGGGAATGGAAGAGGTGTGGGGCAGAGGTGGAATCCTTGACCATCACCAGCCCTCAACCCCCTGGCTGTTTGGTTTTCCCTTTTCCACCCAGTTATTGTTATTATTATTATTTTAAAGCTGTCCTTTTCATTTCTTTCCTCCTCCTCTGGAATTCGATAATGACTTACTTTAAAAAAAACACACACACAAACAAACCCTGGGGGAAAACGAAAAACCAGAGAACGCATCTTCGGGATTGTGCATCTTTCTGGAATAGAGGCAGGCGAGAGAGAGAGAGAGAGAAAAGAAAGAAAGAAAGAAAGAAAGAAAAACCTGTATATTTGGCTGAATAAAGTTTAAATTATCATAACGGTTCTGGTCCGGTGCCTTTTTACACAGTTGGGGCCGCGTTTGAACATCCCCTGAGAAATGGAATGAATGAAGTCCTTTTTTCCTCAGGGCAGATAACCTCCATTTAGGGGTTCCTACAAGACTCGCAGTGGCTAAGAGGCTGAGCTTGTCGATCAGAAAGGTCGGCAGTTCGGCGGTTCGAATCCCCAGCGTCGCGTCACAGAGCGAGCTCCCGTTCCTTGTCCCAGCTTCTGCCAACCTAGCCGTTCGAAAGCATGTAACAAATGCAAGTAGAAAAACAGGGACCCCTTTGGTGGGAAGAAGGCAACAGCATTCCTCCGTGCGCCTTCAAAGGCGTTTAGTCCCGCCGGCCATGGAGACGTCTTCCGACGGCGCTGGCTCTTCTTTCCCCAGGGCCATCCCACTGGGGAATTCCAAAATTTGAAACCCTGCCAGCGAGGATCAAAAATGAAGCAGGCCCCAACTGAAAGCCGTTCGTTTAGTGGCCGGTCAAAGACATCGAAAAAAGGGATCATTTTTCACCCTTACAACGGTTGCAGCCTCCCCGTGGTCCCAGGATCCAAATTCTGACATTTAGCAAGTGACTCATATTTAGGACAGTCGCTGTATTTCTTTTTGCGACCTCCTGACAAGCAGATTCGTCGGTGAAGGCAGATTCCCTTAACAACTGTGTTACTAAACAACTGCAGTGATTCGCTTAATGAATGTGGCAAGACAGGCTGTAAAATGGGAAACTTAATGAACGTTTCCCTTAGCAACAGAAATACCGGGCTTCATTGTGGTCATAAGATGGAAGTTTATGGGGCAAAATTCTCAACGTGTTTCACTTAGCAACAGAAATATTGGGCTCTGTTACCATCGTAAGTAGAGGACTGTTTGTAAGCCTATAATAATTGGCAGAGATTCATCTTTTAAATTCTAAGAAATTCAGGCTTGACTACAAAGGGAAGAAAAGACCCCAAACCACGACAGACACAGATTTCAGACTGTTTTTAATTGCATGTATTTTATTTTATTTTATTTTTTAACCCCCTTCTGGGTTCCTGCCCGGGGGTGGGGTGGTCTCCCCAAAAGCTGAGCTTATAACATTTGAGGTTGTCTTTTTAAGGTTCTGGAAAGCAGGAATGGATTAAGCCTTGATTGGTTTCCTTGGCAGGCGGGAATCCCTGTTTCTGCTGGTGGATTTTACGCAGGGAAGGACGCGGCTCTCTGGCTTATTTGACGTGGAGGCCTTTCATTGCAGCCTCCAAGGTCTGAAACACAAAAGAAAGAGGCTTACAATCCAGTAGCTACTTGCTCAAGATCAGAAACTGGGATCCATTGGGATCCGGGGTGATTTTACCTCAGATTCCCAATACTATAAATCCGTTAGCCTCCATTTTTTTTTGTTCCTCCCCTTTTCAAGCGGGAATTAAAAACACGAAATGAAAAAACTTCCCATCTTCTGTTTCCCCCCCCCCTGACAAAAACTCAACTCCCTTTCCTGCCTCAATTTTCTTCGAAGTTTCCATCCAAGCTTGGGGTGGTGGTTTTTTTTTTTAAGGGAGGGTACGTTTTGTTTCCTGCCCCCTGAAAGGGTGAAAACCGGACACAGATTCATCCTCTACATCAAAATAAATAAAGGGAACCATTAAAATGGTCACATTTGAGAAACCCTGCTCTTGATCAAACCCTGCATTGCAGCTAACCAGGGTTTTGATTTGATGCTTCTGGGACCTGTTCCTGGAAAGACAGATGATGCTGCAACCAGGTGCTCTTGGTGGTGGTGGTGGTTGTTTTGCAGTGGGCCAACTTCACATTTCAGCCTTAAACTGCGTAACTCAACACTCCTTGTTCCTCTGTAACAATTCTACCCAGATGGCACCGGGCTCTTCAGCCGTCCCTGCTCACCTTCACGTCCCATATGCTCATGCCGCCATCCATTCCGGTGGTGCAAAATTTGGTGCAGTTGCCCTTCCCGCCAGCGACCACAGAGATTTGGCTGGAAGAGAAGAGAAGAATCCCTGGGTTGAGTCCTCTCAACTGGAGGAGAAGACACGGCAAACCAGTTGGTGATGGACAACGATCACCCGTGCGTGGAAGCTCCGGGAACAGAGAGGAAGCTTGACCTTCTGAAAGTCCACCTTTCAAGCCAAGTGGACAGGGTCAGTTACATCAGGGGTGAATGGATCCTTGGAAGAGCTGAAGGATCCGGTTGGACACAGATCCTTGTGGAGAAAATCTATCCATGCGGTTGCTAAGAATTGACCCCAATTTGGTCAATCAATCCAACATTTTATAAAGCAGGGGGCCTCCAAAATCAGCAACTTTTAAGACTTGTAGACTTTTGCTGACTAGGAAATTCTGGGAGTTGAAGTCCACAAGTCTTCAACTCGCCAAGTTTGGAGATCCCTGGTTATAGAAAGAAAGAGAAATTTTGCAGACTTGCCTGATACTGTTCTTATGGACGGTGTCCAGAGAGGCATCCTTGGTATCAGAGCTGGCCTTCTTGTCCAAGTTCTGGAAACGCTCCCGAGCTGTGAGTCCCCGTTGGGAACTCTGTTTGGGGATGTCCATTTTCCCTCCAAAGCTCAAGGCACCCTGCTGTTCATTGTACACGAACAACATTGGGTAACAGTCATGACCCTGGTAAAGGAGAAGCCGAGAACATCGCTCAGAAGACAAAGTTCACCTCTTATGACTTATGGTTGGGTAGAGCTACCCCAAATCAATGTCCTTCAGATGTGGCTGGTCCACAACTCCCAAATGTGTCATTCCTGGGGGTAAAGAATGTGTAGTTGTGCTCTACGTTTCATAGAGAATCTGTGGAAAGAGGCTAGACGAAACATGCTGGTTGCTTTTCAACAAAGGCAGCCATGTTCTACCCAAGACACACACGTTCAACAAAGTGGACATGTTCTACCAGATGATGTTATCTAGTTTGGGTCATGAAATGTCTGCAAGGAAACAACCCAGCTCAGAGAACATCCAGGAGCCCACAGTAGTCTCTTTCTTCTTCTTTTCCTTCCCCTCCTCCTCCTATCTCACTCCCTTCCAGCACTGATGATGTTACCTAGCTGGGTCATGAAATGTCTGCAAGAACACAACCCAGCTCAGAGAGCACCAAGGACCCCATAGTCTTTGTCAACCTCCTCCTCCTCCTCCTCCTCCTCCTCCTCCTCCCCCCCCCCCCCCCCCCC